ACCATTCTGCCATTCCTCTCTGCCCTAACCTCTCCCTTTATCATGGTCGGGGTCTTCCTGTGGTTTTGAAACCCATGATTCCCTTAGCTGCTCTGTTCCTTGCTAACTTTGCCAAGAAGCCAAAGGAACTGCATGGGCCATGGACTATATACCGGCACTTTGGAAGGGACAGTGGGTGCAGTATTATCAGGTATAATGAGTCAGAGCCACTCCAGTTACCTTACATTTGAGACAACAAAGTTAGCCTTTTGATGTGGGTTTTCAAAAGAGCAGAGACTAAGACCATACCTTTTTTTTTTTTTTGAGAGGATTTTCTTGTAGACCTAGATCAATTACATTAACATATTCATCTTCCAAACAATTACCCCAAAGAAAATAATGGTGGCCTTTCTCCTTTTATGAAAGTAATACTTGTCTCACCGCCCATACGATTGGGCAGCCCCTTTCTGTTGAAAAGGCTCATGGGAATGCTGCATGAATGGGCTGGCAGTATATTGACATTAATTGCAGCAGGTTTCAATCAGAGTTGTCCAGTCATAGGGGAATAAGTGTTCCACTGATTAAGTCAAATGCTAAGAAAGTTTGTAAGCATATAATACACAGAGTCAGCTTGTGTATTCTATTATTTGGTATTTATTTATCTTTCTAACCCATACAACTCAAAAGACAGCCAAAGAAGGCACTGGAGAAGTGAGACAAGAAGTTGATGCCCAAAGCAGGAATTTTCAGCCCTTCAGACACAAAACAAAAGCATAAGTTTCCTCAGCATATCACTGATCTGCATGCGAAGATATTCAAACTTCAGAAAAGCATGTTTCGAAGTATTTATATGAGAGAACTTCCTTGTAGCTTAAACATATAAAATGCATTCATTTTCCTTTCATGTTTATTAATCATTTATACACTTAAAGCATAAACCTTTCAAACGTGCAATAAATATAACTAAGCATCGTTATGATTGTTTAACCATTAAGTTTCTGTTAAGTACCAGGCTCTATGCTAAGTGCTATCAAAATAAACTCATTTATTATGCACACAGCTCCATGGATTATGCTCTGTTCTGTGTGTTGGATACTAGGTAGAATACCAAGACATAGTTTGGATATATCAGCCTAATC